CCTGCTAAGATTGAGTAGAAGTCAGCCAGTGAGGTAGTGGAAAATACCTAACAGTGGGGCAACTGTGATATACAACGCTGTGTGAAGCTGACACACAAGGTAAGGATTTGGGTTACCTCTGGAGATCTCTCAGAGTATGCCAGGCATATGCATGCCCATGAATCAGGGCCAGCTAAAGCTAAGGGTGGATCATAGAATCAAGACTCTGTCACAATACATGAGCACATGTGCAAACATTCTCTCTCCCTCCATCAAAAGATAGAAAGGACTTAAAAAAAAATAAGATTAGAACCAAGGGTGTCTAATCTCACTACCGTTTTTCAACATCAGGTGATACATAAGACAAGAAAGGGAAATAAAAGGTATACAACCATTTTGATTTTCACTTTCGGTATGCAATAGATAACATGAAATAGTAAATGTTTTGTTAAAAAAGAGGCTTTGTGTTAGATGATTTTGCCCGACTATGAGCTAATGTAAGTGTCCTGAACACTTAGGGTCAGTAGCTATCATGTTTAATAGATCATATGTATTAAGTACATTTTTAACTTACAATATTTCAACTTAGGATGGGGTTTATTAGGATGTATATCAAGCTTCATGCTTCATCATATATCAAGCATCTATAATTTGATTCTACAAACATGGAGTAATATCTGCTTAGACCACCTTATTTTTACAGAAAGTAGTATAATGCTGAAGGTAAACACAAATGCAAAGCAACCTTGAAAAAGAGTGAATCTGGGCCAACCAATGGCGTGATGGATACTCCATGGCCGACTGCATGGTTCAAGTACAGAACCTGAAAGTCTGAAAAACACAGTGTGTGTGTGTGTGTGTGTGCACTCAAAATCCCAAGGAGAATGGACTGCATTGTGGTCATCCCCCATGGGTGTTTTCTCACTTTCCCTCTCTTTGTTTCTCTCTGGCAAATACATGTACCCTATCAAAAATTATAAATTCGTAAGAAAAAAAAAATTGTTAAGAGAAAAGAGAAGAAAATAGATGAAATGGCAGAAACAGATAAATAAGAAACAAAGGAAAGCATAGCAACTTTAATATCAGAAGTGGAAAAAACAGGATTCCAAACAAAAATAGACTACAGGCCAAAGAGGATATTTTATTTTTTCAAAAAGAATAATGGATTCAGAATAACTAATGCTAATAATGAACAACAATTCTCTTAAAATACAGCCTCAATATACATTTTAAACACACGCACACACACACACACACACACACACACACACACACACACACACAGAAAGGGTGATTTTTAAATGCAAAAAAAATGCATCACAGCTGATAAATTATATAGTGTAAAAGATGGCTAAAACCCAAAGAATCTTAAATTTTCACAGAACTAAATAGCAATAAATTATGTACAATGTATTCTACAATATTTCAGATCAAGGACAAGTAGCCTGTTGGTGGTATATCAAAATAGAATATACAATTAACTTAAGTGTTGTTGATTTTTACCAAAAGTGTATTCCCTCACTTTATGTCCTATTAGTAAAACAAATATAAAGATACTTCAGTTTGTGGAAAATTGAATTAAACGTACAAATTTATTTTGGCACAAAAAATTTTTTGAAATACACATATAGCCCTCTATTATAACTTACTTTCCATGAACTTTCTGAAAACTTTCTTGTACACTAAAAGCAGTTCCTACTTCAAGATCTTTACATTCACTGCCTGAAGTACCCTTTCCACAAATACATACACAATTTACTCCTTTATTTTCTTCATGTCACTGCATAAATATTACCTTATCAAAGAGGACTTTCCTTATGACCTTTACTAATATAAACATTGGGGCCGGCAGGTGGCGTGGTGGAGAGTGCTGAACTCCCACAAGTCCCAGACCTGGAGAACTGGAGAATTGCTTGCTTTCTCTCTCTATCTCTCTCTCTCTCTCTCTCTCTGTCCCTCTCTAGTGAAATTAAAAATAAATAAATAAATAAAGTTAAATAAAATCATTCTAAAAAATAAAGTAAAATAAATAAATGCAAATATCCACCAATCCACCCAACTCCTCCCCTATCCTTAGCACCCTTTCTCCTTATCCTACCTTATTTTTTCTCTACAGTCCAGACCACCACCTGACAGAAATTTTCTGGTATTTGCTTACTGTGTAGCTCTCTTCACATTAACATTTCCTGAGGTCAGCAATTTGTACATTCTATTTATTCATATGCCTAAATTTTTTGTACTGCTAACCGCATACAAGTATTCAACAAACATTACTGAAAAAACTAAATGGATGAGTAATAGTAACAGAAGACATTTCTACAGTTTGCTTTGTCAGCAAGAGGACAGTTCCATATGAAGGCAAAAGAATAGGTTGAAGGAGCAAAGGCCTCACAGGTCCCACAAGTTAAGAAAATTTCTAGAACTTATTAGGTTATCAGAAAAGTCATGATGTATTTTTTTCATGTTTTTCTATGCAAAAATATGTCATGACATTTCCCGACAACCTAGTATTTAAAAAGAGGGTTGTATTACCAGAGAGGGAGGTAAGGGTGGAGCTGCAGAAATGATATTTTGTGGGAATAATACCTCTAACAGTAAAAAAATCAACTGACAAGAAAAATAACTTTACCACAGAGAAACCAGAGAGAAACCTAACCAAGTAATCAAAATAACATCACTAGTAATTGGATTAATAAATATGCCTTCTAATATCATTTACTGAGAATGCAATATAACTTCTGTGGCATACCCGACAAAAGCATAAAACCTAAATATAATCACGAGAAAACACGCTCTAAAAAAACAGAGTATTAGAGACAGTCTATTAAAAAATTTTTTTAAAAGCTGGTTTATATTCTTCATAAATGTCAATAGCATTCCACATGGCTGACTACACAGTTAAAATCCCAGCATCAGTGGCTTAAAAAACATGACAGGACCACGTGCATGCCCAAAATCCTAACAAGATAGAGAAATGGAGGAGAAATGACTGCAGTTTCACCATGTCCCACGGAGGGGGTACTTTCTCCCAGTCTCTCTCTCTCTCTGGCAAGCACATGCACCCTCTCGTTTACTTAAAAAAAAAAAAAACAAAGAAAGAGTAGAACTCATGGATATAGAGAAAACTGTTGTCACAAGGTGATCTGATGGTGGTGGTAAATGTAGGGGAGAAGGGGACAATGACAGACTTTGGTTTACAGATAACAAATTACAGCCAGATAACAGGAATAAATTCTAGAGTATAATAACATAGTAGAGCAACTACATGTAGTAACAATTCACTGTGTATTTTAAAAAAGCTAAGAGAATTTTGAAATGTTTCCAACACAAAGAAATGATAAATGTTTGAGCTGATGTAGTAAATAATTACCCTGATTTGTTCATTACATTGCTTGCATATATCAAAATATCACAGTGTATACCATAAAAATGTGCAACTTTACTTACCATTTAATATAATAAAAAATTTAAAAGCACATTTTAACTTAAGATTATCTAAAAAGTAACACGCAGGATACCTTGAGGAGTCAATACGTATTACTTCAAATGAAACCTCATGAAATAGTGTAGAAAACCTTAGGATAGTACGAATGTAAAAGAACTAATTTTATTTATTTAAAACAGCATCAATCAGCCATTTGTAAAAGAAGACAAAAACAAGGTAAAATTACCTTCATGAACTGTAATGCCACAATTGTCACACTGAATTATTTCATCAGCATCCTCACTATTATCTCCAAGACAAACACAGCAAATCAGAATATGGTCCATTTTCTGAGAACTCCAGTTTTGACTCTTCTCAAGAATCAGCGAGTCCTAATATTAAAATAAATAGATAATCATATATTAAATTAAATAACCTTAATAAAATTCAGGCTTTTAATCATTTTAAAACATTAATGTATTTCCAAATTTATGCTTCATTCTTTCAGTAACTTCAAAGTATGCTATATTTCAGAAGTATACCTCTTTGTCAAAAAAACCCTATAACCACTTCCTCACTTAATTTTTCACTTCTCTGCAAGTTTCATATTCTCTCTCCTCCAGGAAAAAAAACAGTATTTAACAACTTTCCCACTTTGCTTTGCCCTTTAAACTAGGATAAATCAAAGATCTACAATAATGATTAATCCCACATATGAGTTTTAAAAGCATTAAGACATAATTTCTGTATTCAGATGATTGTAATCCTACCCAAGGGAGACAAGACACACATACACGAAACAGTAAGAAATCAAGATAACATATCCATGTAATGGTGGAATTACAGACTATAGAATCTAAGTGCTGGGGAATTCAGAAGTTTCAGATTATCAAACTATTGGACAATAAATCCAAGATCTGCAGAGGTATATTAGTCTATATAGGTATATGAAATCATCTGAAAAAAAACCTGCTTGGGAACCAGCAGTTAGCGTAATGGCTATGTCGCTGGACTCCCACGTAGTCGACCGCGGTTCGTGTCCCGTACCCGGTGGCTTAAAACTCACGCCGGGCACGTGTGCGTGCGTGCCCAAGATCCCGAGAGGAGAATGGAGGAGAAGGGACCTTCTCCCCTGGGTGGTGATTTCTCGCTTTCTGTCTCTATGTCTCTCTCTGTCTGTCTGGCAAGCGCACGCGCCCTACAGTGAAAATCTCTCCAAAAAAAAAGAACCTGCTTGACTACCAGAAGAATCGGAATATTCTATTAAGTTTGTATCAAGAAATATTTTGTGTAAATCAGTAACAAAGACACCTATCTAGTTAAAATATAGGAGAGGGACCAGCAGTTGGCATAATGGCTATGTCGCTGGACTCTCATGTAGTCTACCATGGTTCAAGTCCCGGACCTGATGGCTTAAATTCACGTCGGGCGCATGTTCGTGCATGCCCAAGATCCTGAGAGGAAAATGGAGGAGAAGTGATTGTGGCATTGCCATCCCCCTGGGGGGGAGATTTCTCGCTTTCTGTCTCTCTGTCTCTCTCTCTCTGTCTTTCTGGAGAGCAAACGCGCCCTATAGCAAAAAACTCTCCAAAACAGGAATATATATAGAAGGAGAAATGAAGATGTATTGATAAATATAAAAAATCAAATTTCAAGAAAAGGGAAGAGATTTTTTAATTTAAACATTGTGTACTATGGATTTAAACTTTAAATTAACGGAAAATTATTTTTCTCACATATAAAGGATAGAAACCAGTAGATGGCATGAGTCTCTATGTCTCTCTCTGTCTGTCTGGCAAGCGCACGCGCCCTACAGTGAAAATCTCTCCAAAAAAAAAGAACCTGCTTGACTACCAGAAGAATCGGAATATTCTATTAAGTTTGTATCAAGAAATATTTTGTGTAAATCAGTAACAAAGACACCTATCTAGTTAAAATATAGGAGAGGGACCAGCAGTTGGCATAATGGCTATGTCGCTGGACTCTCATGTAGTCTACCATGGTTCAAGTCCCGGACCTGATGGCTTAAATTCACGTCGGGCGCATGTTCGTGCATGCCCAAGATCCTGAGAGGAAAATGGAGGAGAAGTGATTGTGGCATTGCCATCCCCCTGGGGGGGAGATTTCTCGCTTTCTGTCTCTCTGTCTCTCTCTCTCTGTCTTTCTGGAGAGCAAACGCGCCCTATAGCAAAAAACTCTCCAAAACAGGAATATATATAGAAGGAGAAATGAAGATGTATTGATAAATATAAAAAATCAAATTTCAAGAAAAGGGAAGAGATTTTTTAATTTAAACATTGTGTACTATGGATTTAAACTTTAAATTAACGGAAAATTATTTTTCTCACATATAAAGGATAGAAACCAGTAGATGGCATGATAGTTACATTGCTGGACTCCCACAGTTGACCGGTCTGAGACCCGGTGGTTTAAAATTCACGCTGGGCGCATGTGCATGGGAGCCCAGAATCCTAAGAGGAGAACAGAAGAGAAGGGATTGTGGCATGGCCCTACCACTTAGGAGGTGGTTTCTCGCTTTTTGTCTGTCTGTCTCTCCAGTGACCATACATGCATGCCCTATAGTAAAAATGTCTCCAAAAAAATTTTAAATGTACATATAATAAATAATAAAACCACACAAATCTAGATATTTTCATTTACAAATCTAGTCATACTCAAAAACAAAATTAATAAAGTAGTTCCATATCATAGTCACTTAATATGTTTTATTTTAAGTATTTTTTATGCTTTTATATTCTTTTAAACTCAATATTCAAAAGTAACATTTGCCACCGTCAATTCAATAGCAATTTGTAACTGACATCTGAGTAACACTCGCAGGTTATAATAATTCTTTCAATACATTTTGTATATAAAATCTAAAATTGTAGCTGATCTATAAAACAAATCAGAGAACACAAAAATCAATAAGGAGGTCATTTCTCTAAGAATTCTAGTATTTTATAGTTCTATATTTTGCTCCTCTTTATTATCGAACCACACAAAATAGCTTGAAGTAACAAGTGGCTAGCAAATAATGTGAAAAATTCTAAAAAGAAAATTCATGTGTTTTATAGTATTTTGTAAGAAAATTAACCTGCCCAGATTTTCACACCATTACCCACATTTCAAAGGTAACAGCATTGAAGTTAAATATTCTTGGGCTTTATTCTCTGCTCTCACTTAACGAGCTGTTAAACCTCAAAACTGCAATTTTCTCATTTACAAAATGAAGATAATAAAAATAATACCCACCTCATGAAGCTATTGTGAGAATTAACAAAATAACGTACAGCAAGAATGTTCCTGGAACATACTAAGTGCTTAATAAATATTCACTCTATTCCTCTTTTCCTCTGTACTTGTAGGTGGTTCAAAAACATATAAACTGACAATTCATTACACTGGTGGATCCTCCTTAGATCCCCAAAGAAAGTTACAGGCCCCAATGAACACTGCTAATTTAAATATCATCCACATAGTAGGTACAAAAAAGGCTTTTATATTAGAATACAAGAAGTAGATTTTAAGAATCACAGATTAGGAAAAAAACTAGTGAACCATCAGTGTTTGTTAATTAACATTACTCATGTTTATGGACTCTGCCAACATTTCTCTGATGCAATTAAAACTAATCAGAACTGAAGAAAAAGATTTACCCATATAAGTAATGGGCAAATTTCTATGGGCCAAAAAGATAGCAGCAACAAGCGGTTATAATTCCTCTATTTTTCCATTTTGCTCAGAAAAACAGTAAATGTCTAAATTATGTATCTACATCAATTTCTCTCTACATATATTATCAGTAAGAAATAATAAACAAAATTAACTGGTATTTCTGGCCCTCTGTTCTGCATTATCAGATTCCTAGAAATGTAATTAATACAAAGAGAAAAATAAGGGGGGACTAGCAGTTAGCGTAATGGCTATGTCTCTGGACTCCCATGTAGTCTAAGCAGTTTGAGTCCCAGACCCAGTGACTTAAACTCACGCCAGGCGCGTGTGCGTGCGTGCGTGCCCAAGATCCCAAGAGGAGAATGGAGGAGAAGGGACTGCGGCGTGGCCATCCCCCCTGGGGGGTGATTTCACCCTTTCTGTCTCTCTGTCTCTCTCTGTCTGTCTGGCGAGCACACGTGCCCTATAGCAAAAACCTCTCCAAAAAAGAAAAAAAAAAAAGTATGCTTTGGGACCAGCAGATGGCTTAATGGTTATGTTGCTGGATTTCCACGTTGTCAACCACAATTAGAGTCCAAGAACCAGTGGCTTAAAACTCACACCTGGCACATGTGCATGTGTGTCCAAGATCCTACAAGGACTATGGAGGAAAAGGGATTGTGGCATCGTCATCCTCCATGGGGGGTGATTTCTTGCTTTCTGTTTGTCTCTGTCTGTCTGTGGCGAGTGCACACACCCTACAGCAAAAACCTCTCTCAAAAAAAAAATGTATACGTTTTTCTTTAACAGATCAAATATCATTAAGCAGACATACTAATAAATATAAAACTGAATTTATACCTACTGTTGTTAGCATAGTTCTCCAGATATATATTATCTTTCAAGTTTCTGGAGAAAATATGCTAGTTTTTAACAAAAAAAAATAATAATAATTGAAAAAAAAATATGGCTCTACATAAAACCAGGTCCAAGAAAGTGGGTTTTAAATGTATTGCAAAAAATGTAAAAACAAAAACGTACCATAGAAAATATCTTGAAAACTGCAGAGTAGAGGCCACTCTGCAGCCTAGTCGTTAAGGGAGCCAGACAGCACATGTTGCAGTTCAAATTCCAGCCCTGGTAACGTAAAAAATACAAGTGCATGTGCCCTCTGGCAATTGAAACAGTAAGTTATATAAACAGGCTAAATTCTATTTAAGATATATCTGTGTTTAGTAGAAAGAAATTCCAGCATACTTCATGTAAAACCAGAATTAAAAGAATCTTTTTCCCTAAAAAAAAAAAAATCAGTATACCAAAAAGTCTAAAAATGATTATTTCCCTAAATTTTCAAAGAATGTTAAATTCTGAAGAATACCAAGTAATAACTGTACAATGTTAAAGAGCTTTTTGAAATTTTTTTGGACTTGAAACTGTTTCATTTTGAAATGTGTAAAACTGCAATAAATAGTCAGAACCTCTTAAAAGAAGAAGATATACAAAAATTTTAGAAAACCTGGTACCAGCAGCTGGCACAATGGCTATGTCGCTGGACTCCCATGTAGTTGACTGAGGTTTCAGTCCCGGACCGAGTGCTTAAACTCATGCCAGGTGCGTGTGTGTACATGCTCAAGATCCCAAGAGGAGAATGGAGGAGGAATTGCAGCATAGCCATCCCCCCGGGGAGTGATTTCTCTCTTTCTGTCTCTCTGTCTGTCTTTCTAGTGAGCGCACGCATCCTATGGCAAAAACCTCTCCAAACAAATAAATAAATAAATAAAATTTTGGAAAACCTTTAGTTAGCAAAAATTGGGTAACAATTGCCATTTCTCATTATGGCAAGGAATCTGACCCATTTAGCTTAGCAGAGCTTTTTTCAGGGAAAAAAAAAAAAATTCCGAAAAGCAAAGAATATGAGGTTTACATTTATATAACAGTGATACAAAATCCAAACTGTCTTATATTCTAAATAGTCTGTTGGAAGACAGCTTTTTTTTCTTTTTAAAGCAATAAACAAAAATTGCCATTTTTACTGACATGAGTCTCTGTTATGTATTAATTCCCATTCTAAACTCTAGTTTCCAAGTCCTCAAAATGGGAACTATTTTCAGAAAATGCCTTCCCCCAAAATTTACTGTAGAAGGCTAAAGGACAAAATAACTTCAGTGACTGTCCAAAACCTCACGATAAAAGTCTGAAAAATATATACAACCATATTCCAAGGGAACTATTTGAATTACACTAAATTCAAAAATGTCACAAGGCTAGTGTCAGAGAACGGTGCCTGTTCACAGGTTATCAACTGCCCAATATTAGTAGTTTTCAAGGTATGATCAAGGGAACTCTCTTTCAGTGGGTCTACAAGGTAGGGCTAGTTTCATAATGATACTAAGATGTTATATTTCTCTTTTACTCTCCCTCTCCTAAGAGTATATGACAAAGTTTCAAGAATTTACATGAAGTTAGAAGGTGCCATCAATTGGACAACATGTGTGCTTCTACATATCTTTTTTGAAATTTGTTAAGTTTTAATTTGAAAAGATAAATATCAACAGATATAATCTAAGTAAACAATAAAGGAAGGCCTTCAATGGTTTTTTTAGAGTATAAAGGGGTACTATGACCAAAAAGGTGGAGAACCACTATCTTAAAGTATTTTGGGGGCCTGTTGCCATAAGCATATGAAGGCAATTATGAGCAATGGTTATAAAAGGGTACTGCTCAAAAACATATCAAATTCCTCTAAGAAAGGTCAAAATTGTTCAATTATTTCCATACCAAGACACTTGATATTGCAGTCAAGAAAAAATTTGGCTGCTTATAAACTAAGTATAATTCTATTATGAATTTCTAAAGCCACGTTTTCAGCTACCTCTGCTACCAAAATGGTCTCTAAAAATTTAAAAGCCAAGGAAAAAAATCTTCAAATATATACTTATTATCTAATAGGTTCTCTGCGATGATTCCTACCTAAAATAACCAGAAAAAAAATTCAGACAAAAAAATTGGCTATAAGACAACAAAGATGAACTTCAGTTATCTTTTTTTAAATATAAAGCTTATGGGAACCAGCATTAGCGTAATGGCTATGTCGCTGGACTCCCACGTAGTCAACTGCAGTTCGCGTCCCGGACCCGGTAGCTTAAAACTCATGCCGGGCGCGTGTGCATGTGTGCCCAAGATCCCGAGAGGAGAATGGAGGAGAAGGGATTGTGGCGTGGCCATCCCCCCTGGGAGGTGATTTCTTGCTTTCTGTCTCTCTGTCTCTCTCTGTCTGTCTGGCGAACGCATGCGTCCTATAGTGAAAATCTCTCCCAAAAAAATAAAAAATAAAAAAAATAAAGATCATAAGAACAGGAAGTTCAGAAGTATAAAGTAATCATCTTTGGATCAGGAAGTGATAAGCAGTAATGCAAATGAGCCCAGATAGACAATGTCTTGGGTTCTCAAGCTGCAACACCCCCTCCCCTCAAGCACTTCCCGGAAATTCCCTGAGCATGCACCCGACTATAATTTGGGCTTGCTGAGACTGAGTGTGGATGACAACATAAAGAACCTGCTGGAGGGAACCAGCAGTTAGTGTGATGGCTATGTCACTGGACTCCCATGTAGTCGACCGCAGTTCGCGTCCCAGATCCGGTGTCTTAAAACTCACGCCGGGCGTGTGTGCGTACGTGCCCAAGATCCCGAGAGGAGAATGGAAGAGAAGGGATTGTGGCGTGGCCATCCCCCCTGGGAGGTGATTTCTTGCTTTCTGTCTCTCTGTCTCTCTCTGTCTGGCGAGCGCACGTGTCCTATAGCAAAAACCTCTCAAAAAAAAAAAGAAAGAAAGAAAGAACCTGCTGGGGAACCTGTCTCTCTGTGCATCTGTCTGTCTCTTTCTCTAAAATAAAAATTTTAAAAAGTTATTGAAGAGTGAATAATAGAATTATAGTGAACAACACAGTTATCAAGCTTTTAGGTAGAATATTATTCTGAAAGAAAATTAACTTTCTGTAAGTTTTCCTGCATGGGTATTTTCCCAAGTACTTTGGAATCTCATTCCTGGAATGTCACTGGACTATAAGCCTAAACATGGAAAGTCTGGTTACCTGCTAAGCCTCTTCTATTAAGAAAAAACTAAGCAGCATGTTTCCTTTAAATGCATCCTACAGGTTAGTCTGTGGTTTCCTAGGCAGTATATTATGAACAAAGAAGATTATGTATACATTTTACATGGCAAATGTCTAAACATATGCAGGTATCCCTTACACCTTTGCGTAAATCAGATACATAATGCCTCTATCATGTGCTAAACTACTTTTGTGAATGTCAGCCTAATAAAAAAGTAGAGAAGTGATGTTGCCAAAAGTAAACTTATTTAGTAAATACAGAATGAGCAGAAGTGCTACAATATAAACTGAATCCATCGCTATATTTAATATGAACAATTGGATTTGCTATATTTCTGTTTCCCTAAGATAGCACAGACAATATAGAACTGCCTGTGCTATATTATTAAAAATACTATACTATGAGCCAGCTCTATAGCTCAATGCTTATGTCCTCTGTGTAGGGCACAAGATCCCATCTTGGTAGGGAACAAGATCCCACGCGGCCAACCACAGAACGAATCCAGGCCCCAGCAGCTTGAAAAACACTACAGGACATGTGTGTGTGCCCCTAAAATCCTTACAGGAATGAGAAATGGAGTAAAGGGATTGTGGAGGACCACTCCCCAAGGAGGGGAGGTATTCTCTCTTCTTTTCTTCTCTCTCTCTTTCTCCCTTTCTCTCTTCCTCTCTCTCTGGTGAATATACATACCCTCTGGTGATTTAAAAAAAACTACTATATCAAATGACAATTTTCCTTTACCTAAAGATAAGAATTATATGGCACTGGAAGCAAGCAATATTCTTCATGAGAAAGTGAGAAACCTAGAAGTTAGCCATATTTATAACTCAAAATACAAACTGCTATCTCATCTCTACTGATATATAACCTCTGGTAGCCTGCTACACATTATTTTGGTAAAAATAATGTCGCATTTTTAATGAAACCTAACTAAGTTAATTATCACTACTATGTAAAACTTGTAAGCAGAAAAATGTGAAGGAACGAATAAAACATAAGAAGGAAATCCTTCTACCAGTTTAACCTACTTCAATGACATGAAAAAAAGTAAGTGTTTGGTAAAGAAGTAAATTTTGGTGACTATGAACATATTAACAGAAATGACAGAATTAATCACTATATTTCTACATGTGATGTAACAGATACATCTACATGTAAGACAACAACTCAATCTTTCTTTTAGAAAAAAAAAAAAACATACATAAAACACACAGACAAGGAGACACAAATATGTTTGACTGAAGAGTCTTGAATGTTGCATCTCTGGCCCAGTGGATAAACCTAACTTTCAGTAGTAGAACTTCAAGTGGAAGAACTGAGCCATTACGTAGTTTTATGATAATGTTTCCTTTTTTCACTTCTTTGTAGAAAAAACTTATTCACTAAATATATATAAGCACAGTTCACAATTACTTTCATACAGATAAAGCAAAGACTTGGTAACTATAGATGATAGGTGCTACAGCCAGTAAAAGAATTAACCTTTAAAATGAATCTTTAACAGTTTGAAAAAATCATTAAGCAGTTTACTGCCCTGCTCTAAAATATTCTAAAGTCCTACATTTTTATATGAATATGAATATAACTAAGTTGAAAGAAAAATGACCTCTGTTTTCATAATCCACTCAGTACCATTCGGCAGTCCCATGAGCAATGGGTTAAGGGGATAAAAAAAAAATGAATGGAAAACTCATCATAATTTCTCAAGCCTATGGACACAAAAATAGTTCTCTAAATATTTCTCCTTGTGGATGGAGATTGTGAACTCCTTGAGAACGGTGACAAACAGAAGATACTCAATAAAGGTTTGTTGACAAAATGAGTAAGTGCTATAGCTAGGGAGCTCATTCACTCTCTCAGCTATCTATAAATAGGATTTCAAGGAAGCCAGTTAATATAATGAGAAGAGTGATTTAGAGAAGAATTCCCTTTTCCCCAGACAAACAGATATCATAAAAATCAGGTTGATCTACCTCATTACTCTTGCTTTGAGATAGTGTCAGGCTATCATTGGTCAATTCCTCATCATCAGCACTGTTTCTGCTAAGAATTTTACTCTTCTTCTTCTTGCAACCACCTTCACTGGCTGGGCTGCTATGATCCTCATCATTGCCTTCATCGTTGTCATCCTCATCACTCCCACTTCCCTCATCTTCATCATCCTCATTGTCTCCATCACTTCCCTCTTTCTGAGACGCAGATCTCCCTTTTCTCTTCACTACAGTAGGTCGCCAATCATTGTCATCTTCGCTGTCATAGTCATCCATGTCATTTAGCTCTTCCATGGATACAAAATCCAAAAGTGGTCGGTTTCGACGAAGGTTCCACTTTTTTGGCTCACTGACTTGTTCCTCTGCAGTGGTTGTTGTAGTGGGGACAGAAGGGGATGCATTAACAGCAGGAGGACTTGTGGAGGGTGTGGTGGCAGTAGCAGAAGCTGACATGTTATCAGATACTGTTGCTTTTTCTTTTTCTTTTTCTCTGTCCTTCTCTTTCTCTTTTTCTTTATCCTTTTCTTTTTCCTTTTCTTTCTCCTTTTTCTTTCTAGGTCTTTCTCCATTTTCTTCTTCCTCTTTCTTTTCCATTTTAATTAACTGTTTTTCTGATGACAGTATTTCTTCATCTGCAGAATGTTTAAGTTGTTCTTCTTTTACTTTAATATCTTCATTCAACTCTTCCTCTAAAATGTTTTCTTCAGAATCACTACAGGAACCTTCTCCACTGTCCTTTGAGGGATCTTCACTTCCATTACCACTCCCTTCAGAATCTGTTGAAAATATGAGAAAAAAAACCACACATATGTATATACATACACACACACACACACAACGCTGACACAATGAAACCACCAAAATTTGTGAATAACTTGCAAAACAATATAAACAAATCTAAGTCAAAGAATGGTAGACACTCCCAATCTGGTTAAATCATAAATCAATGAAGCTGATATAATGATCTTAGTTCAATATAGCACTAATGAAGATGAACATATATAATTCTAACTTAAAATATCCTTTAAAAAGAGGAGTACTATTTTATGTTATATAGCTCATGCTACATTTGATATCCTACAGGCAATTTTTTTCCTAAAAGTAAATGTGTTTCTTTTAAATTGGGCACTTGATTTATAACTTAACAGACAAAATTACTCCTCCTATACATCTTCGTTGTATAAATATATGAACCTAGAAATATTGAAAGAGTCACATCCAAAACAAGATAAATCTGATGCCCAAAACTTTGTTTCATTTATTTTACTCTTTACCAGCAAAATGAGCACAAATATTTATGATTGTCAACTTGTACTGCATCTTTAATATACCAAAGCAACTTTAGGAGTACCAAGTACACAGGTAAAAAGAGACCATAGGAACAGCATAGAAAATGAATGCTGTAACACAAATTATCACTTTTCCTGCTTAAGGATACTGTGCAGATCAATAACAGAAGAGTCACTGAAGCTTTTAAAAATTATAGGCAGTAATTATTATAGGCCCTAGAAGGAAAAATCTGATTAATAAATAAAACCACCCTGAGCAGACAGACATGGAAGTTACTGAAAAGACAGACTGAAAACATACAAGACATCCTGCAGAACTGTAAGCTTTCTAATTTCTCCTGTTCCTGCCTAGGGCAGCCCAATCTCTCTAAACGCAACACTACTGAGTAAATTTTCAATCATCTTTGTACCTAATAATATAATACTCTAAAATGTTTGGAGGGAAGGATGCAGGGGAATGAAGAGGGGAAGCAGGAAGAAGTGATGAAGAAACTAGTCAGTCAAGAAGAATAGTAAAATCTACAAGATCCTGAGGTTTTCTTACAATTAAAACCAAGAAAAAGAGAGCAACAATAAAACAGTAAAGAAGGTCAAGGTTTCCATATTATAATTATTATTTTTTTTTTTTTGAGAGGTTTTTACCATAGGGTGCGTGCACTCGCCAGAAAGACAGAGAGACAGAAAGTGAGAAATCACCCCTGGGGGGTGGCCACACTGCAATCCCTTCTCCTCTATTTTCCTCTCCAGATCTTGGGCATGCATTTTTAAGCCACTGGGTCTGGGACTCGAACCACAGTCGACTACATGGGAGTCTAGTGACACAGCCATTACTCCAACTGCTGGTCCCTCTCCACACCATTTTAATATATATTAATCCCATTACCTTAACTTTTATAATTAATGTTAAAATTGTAACAAGTTGTCTATACTTTATACCTGGCATCTAGAGCACCTCAGAATTCCTATATAAACTGCTAATAATAAAAACATCCTGCAAGTTCAATCACATAAAAAAATAAAAACTAAAGTTTAATAGAGGTTGACTGAACCTGTGAAATCATTACTAATTTCAAAATTATCATGTGGACATCTCATGCAGGACTGTTCTAAAAAAGCACTCTTTTTCTAAATAATCTTTCATGGGACATAAGAGCAATATCATGCAGGTCAACAATGATCTATCTGAACTTTTGGAGTTACATATATGTTTAAGAATCTACAGTTTTTCACATTTTAGAAAAGTAGCATAGTAGATGCACCATACATTCCAACAACACCTCCCCCAAGAGATCTATTGTACTGTTTATAACTAAAAACATTAGCCTGCAGTGAAAAGTATGAATAATTACTGAGTGTGAAAAATTAACACTATAGATAAACTCCTATGAGTTTGAGTCAGGTCCAAACTTGTTGTTTCCAAACTTAGGAAACACTTCTAGATTTTTGAGCTTCTTGGATTTCAAAGAGTGTGGACCTAGTATCACTCATAAACAGGCAATTTATTTTCAATACAAGAGCCCTACAAATTATCAAGAAAATTATAATTTCACTAAACTATCACAATATCACACATAAAAAGGCAACTTATTTTCAATACAAAAACCCTAAAAATCATTGTTATTTCACTAAACCATTCATAACCAACCAACCTATCAAGAAAAACCACCTCTGGTAAAAACATTAATAATTTCTGGACACTGAAAAATAAAGATCTAATAAATTATATGCAGAGTTGACCAAATTCTTCTAAGGCAAGGAAGGATTTCTTGTGCACACTAACTAAAGAAAACTGAAACATCTTACAAACAATGCCATAATTAATTAAGAGTGCTGGGAAATAAAGGAAAAGTATTTTTCTTCTGGATCAATCTTCTAAGCCTTTCTACCAATAAAACGTATCAGTATTTATAAAATAAGATTAAATAAAACAGACCTATAGATTCTTAATAAAAACTGAGACCAATCAAACTTTGCTATTCTGTGGTAAATTTTACAAAGTGTCAAGGATTTTTTGCAAAAATTTTTGGTTATTGTTATAAATGCCAATTACCTGTTTTTTAAAGTAGAGATAAACTGATACTCTGATTCTGTTTTCATTTTGAAATCATGCCTGAAGAGAAAATTTCCAAAAACTATTTAATTGTTTTATATTAGTTGTCATTATAAGAATGTTAAACATTTTTTAACAAATCCAAATGCTGATAGCTTACACAACCCTTCATTCTCTAAATATATTAGTCATACTCCAACTGCAGAGATGTGAATATAACAAATTTAATCCTTCTTTAATCTCTGAAAAATGGCTTCTTCATCTGATTAGTTAGTCATCATATATTTTTGGTATACATAAGCTTGAAAGATGAAGATAAAACATATTTAGTTATAAAAATAGCTGGGTAATAATGACAATGAGAAAATCAAGGTTGTCTGTATTTTTATAGGCTGCAAAGAAAAATTTTCCTATTATTATAAAAACAAAGAATGACTACATGTCATGTTCCTAACCCATCATTTCTATACTAAAATGAAGTAAGAAAATAAATAGACTGGAGAAATGAACCTGATACTTCAAGTAAAGCCATCTTAAGCCTAAGAACAGCGTTAATTCCAAGCCTATGATAAACACTTTTTCATTAAAAAAAAAAATGTCTTTAAAACTGAAATCCTGGGGCCACAGTTGGTGTAATGGCTATGTCGCTGGACTCTCATGAAGTCAACTGCGGTTCGCATCCCGGGCCCGGTGGCTTAAAACTCACACCGGGCGTGTTTGCATGTGTGCCCAAGATCCCGAGAGGAGAATGGAGGAGAAGGGATTGCGGTGTGGCCATCCCCCCTGGGGGGTGATTTCCCGTTTTCTGTCTCTATGTCTCTGTCTGTCTGGCGAGTGCACGCGCCCTATAGCAAAAACCTCTAAAAAATAAAAATAAAAAATAATAATAATAATAAAATCCTTTCTTCCAATTTGGTAACATAAAAAGGATTTAAATCAGGGGAACCAGCAGTTAGCGTAATGGCTATGTCGCTGGACTCCCACGTAGTCGACCGCGGTTCGCGTCCCGGACCTGGTGGCTTAAAACTCACACTGGGCGCGTGTGCGTGCGTGCCCAAGATCCCAGGAGAAGAATGGAGGAGAAGGGATTGCAGCGTGACCATCCCCCCTGGGGGGTGATTTCTCGCTTTCTATCTCTATGTCTCTCTCTGTCCGTCTGGCGAGCGCACGCGCCCTACAGTGAAAATCTCTCCAAAAAAAAAAAAAAAAAAAAAAAAAAAAAAAAGAATCTCTCTAAGCAATAACTATTTTGACTGACAGTTAAGGAATATTTTTATTGTTGCGGAATTAAAAATCCAACTTTCAAAAATCCTTGGACAATATTAAATAAAATAAAAATTATTTTAACTAATATCAACTATCAATACCATTATAACCAGTACTGAAGTTTTCCTCATGATAAATATTAAACCAAAAATTTGATATGGCTAAATTCAGTTTCATGTTAACTTTACAACACAATCTTTGTAAACCAATTTCATCACTAGAAAAAAAAAGGGTTTTCGCCATAGGGCATGTGTGCTTGTCAAAGAGACAGTAAGAGGGAAAGTAAGAAATCGCTCCCTGGGGGTGGGAAAGACCATGCTGCAATCCCCTCTCTTCCATTCTCCTCCTGGGATTTTGGGCATGTGTCTGGCATGATTTTCAAGTTGCCAGGTTCAGTATTTGAACTGTGGTTGGACATGTGGGAGTACAACACCTTAACTGCCATGCCACCTACTAGATTACTGGAACTATTTTTGACTAACCCTATATATCTCCTGAAAAAAGTCAGTTAACACATCTCGTTCCCTACTTCTGACTCCAGTTACAGCTATGTCACCTCAGCTTTTATTTTCCGGGTAAAAACAAACTAGTATTTCTCAAGTGAAGATAACTTTCCCCCCAGAATTGGGAAAGACAGGAGATAATCCCTACCACAAAGATGTAGGAGAGGGCAATTAGGGAAGATGTTACTAGCATGTAGTAAAGGACAGGAATGCTGCTAAGCATTCTATAATGTACAGGGCAGATCTCCAAAATGAAGAAGCATCCTACACAAGATGCTAATACTGCCAGGGTTGAGAAACCCTCTTCTAGTATCTAAGACCTCAACTTGACTTCATTCTACCTGCCTCTCCCAGTATTTTTCACTCAGTCCTGATCTCCTAAATATTCTCCAACCTGCATAACTTTAATCCTTCATCCAAGCTGCTGTTTCTCTAAATATTCTTTCTCTTTCAGGTCATAGTTCAACTTTATCTATTTATTTACTTACTTACTTTTTATGAATGATAGAGTGCATGTGTACACATGAGAGAGAGAGAACAGCATCCTCCACTGGATCTGGTTACACTGTGATTCACTTCCTCTAATCCTATAACCCTTCAGACCTTGGGCACTCACTATTGTGAATGAAATGCTTCAGGCATCAGGGAATTCAAACCAAATGGTCATT